TTACAAAAACATCCATCAAGTATTACAAAAAAATCTATCATGGATTACAAAACAAAACAAACAAAAAAAAAAAAAAATTTCCGTACGGGACTCTCCTATTCACTGTACAGACTCACCGATTCCGTACAGTGAATCGGCGAGTCACTGTATAGAATCGTCCGGTTCACTCTAGAACCGGACGATTCCTGTTTTTTTCGTCGATTCGATCCGTCCATGGCGATTCCCGAGTCGAACCGGGCGAGTCCGGTTCGACTCGGCGTTTTTTTAAACACTGGTTTGAACTTTAAAGAATTGATGGTTATCTTCCTCAATTATTCACTTTTGCCGTTAAAAATGAGCCCAATAAACTTTCGTATACAATTTCAATCCAAAAACGTACTAAAAACATTTCAAAAACGTTTTTAACCCAAAAACTTTTAAGATGGGAAATTTAGGTTCCGTACGAAATTTTCCCTCAATTCAATAAGCTGGATTTGAAGTGGTAGCCACCCCTTTTATTTTATTTTATTTTTTAATTTTTTTATTTTTTATTTTTATTTTTTTTTATTTTGACACTTTGTGGTTCATTTAAGCCAAAAGATTTTATGCTCGAGGGTGAAAAGATCTCCCAAGGGCAAAATTCATGTTTATTATATTTTATGGATCCTATATCACTTAGGGAAAGTGATAAAAAATCTCAAAACCATACTTTCTATATAACTTATCTCCAAAACCATCTTATTCTTTTTCCCAAAATATACTTTCTATGCAAAATACCTCCAATTAAATAAATAAATAAAAATACTTACTACCGTCCTTTATTTTTACCTTACTCACACACCTCTCTCCTTTATCCCACCAAAATAAGGGCTTCAGCACATAAATACGGTCCGGCAATAGGGCTCTAGCATTGTGTAAAGTGCTCTCTCTCATTTATCCCATCAAAATAGGGGCTCCGGTACATAAATGCAGTCCGACAGTAGAGCTCTAACATTGTGTAAAGTGTCATCCGGTAGTTTTAAATGGCGGTCTGCTAAATGTTACTAGATTCCAGGGCTCCCACACTATGTAAAAAGTGGTAGTCGGGCTGTTGCAAAAGGCGGTCTACGTAGTCGGGCAGTTGCAAAAGGCGATTTGGTAGTAGAGCTTACTAAGATGGTGGTCAAGCAGTTGTAAAAAGCGGTATGGTAGTAGATATTACTCGATTCAGGAATTTGGCTTTATGTAACGGTCCAGCACATGTGCGCTTTGACAATTTGATGGTACAATTTTGGCCTGATAGTTGTCTTAGGACGGTCCAGCACTTGTGTGCAGTCGGGCAGTTGCAAAAGGCGGTCTGGTATTAGAGCTTACTGAGATGGTAGTCGGGCAGTTGTAAGGAGTGGTCTGGTAGTAGATTGTACTTGATTCAGAACTCTGGCTCTATATAACGGTCCAACACTTGTGCGCTCTGACAATTTGATGGTGCAATTTTGGTCTGGTAGTTGTCGTAAGACGGTCCAACACTTGTGCGCTCTGACAATTTGATAGCGCGCTCCGACAATGTGCTACTGGGTCCAAAAGTCAACCTGGCCAAAATGATTTTTGTGTACAAAAACAAGTATTTCCATCTAAAAAAATGAACTTTTTCCCTTAAGAGGTATTTGCATAAAAAAAATTGTTTCGGAAAAAAAATGAGAAAAATGTTAAGTTGGGAGTAAATAACATAGAAAGTCTGTTCTTGGGGTTTTTTTTTGTTCGTAATTTCCCTCTAACCTAACAGTCAACTTTAAAGACAAAATTTTGAATCGCATCTCACCCTTTATGTGCCTCAAGAACATAAAGTCACAATATTGAAAAAGAAACCATCATTATGCTCCCGAAGGAGCATGTAATAGGTGCTAAAAAAATGAGTATCATGTACTCTTGCAGGATGAAGTTATTTTTGTGGAACTCAAAATTTGAGATCTAGTTTTGAATATATCATATGATTAATTTCATAAAAAACTTGCTTTTGAGTTTCCAAACCTTAGATATGGTTGTCCAAAAATCAGACAATAATGTTCAAGACATTTTTCTTTTTTTTGGAGGAGATACAGGGCGCATATCAACTCATTTTCTTTCATTTTTCTTTTAGGTTGGATGCCAAGATCTCCAAAATACTTCAAAACTGTAATCTTCATTGATGGTAAATTTTGCCTTGCTGATGCCGTGAATACAGTCCTTTCGGATGAAACAAGTAAATCTTTGCATTATAGTGATGTGATTTGAAATTGCTACATTTATTGCCCTCGAAATTGCGGTTGTATTTTTTGTTTTGGTTTTGCTTTAGTTCTACCCCTTGATCTACCTCAAAGCACTGCCAAAGGCCTCAGATGATGTACCCTTACCATTTGACATTAGAGATGAACATTTCAGTCCAAGCCCATTTCAGCTTGAACATGCTTAAAGGGTAAAAAAGATGTAACTCAACTGATCACTGACCTGGCAAACTCAAAAATACTAGGTTGGCAGGGGTGTATTGCTGCTCAGAAATTGCAAATTCTGAAGGCAAAAGTAATTAATTGGAAAACTGCAGTTTTTGGAAAATTAAATATAAAATCCGTAAAAATGTGAAATCAAGAATGTGGTCAGCCAAATCAATAATTGGATACAATGCAACTTTTTCCAAACAAATTCCAAATGGGTACAAGTTGTGATTCCCTTGAAATACTTCTATTTTTCGGATCTATAATCATTGAGGTGGAGATGAACAATTCGCAAGTTTCTTTAACTATATTTACCAATGGGATTTGAGGTGCAGTTGTATAAAGCCATGGCTTCACCAAATGCTTTTGCCATAGATATACATGTAAATGGTCAACTCCTAGTTCTCAATGAATAGCATCACAAATTGTGTAATCATTAAGCACATGGCCATTAACCATACTGGCTCAACATTACAAAATTAGGCATCTATACAAAAAGAACTACATATGCAAGTAGACATTGGAAGGAAACAAAACTGCCACATAACAAATAAAGATGTTACAAAACTAGGGAAACTGTCCAAAAGGAAATCCCAGCTGAAAGTTTAGAGTGGGACTACTTAGTTTTACATAACAATACAACCTTACCTTCTTGAGACTGGCCTTGTCCAAATCCTATGCAAAACCTTACAACGCTCAAATGTCTCCACTCCACAAAAAGTCAAATTCTTCACCTCCTTAATGGCTCCAGGTTACCAGTTGATTAAAGGCAATGCAAACAAAACCATAATATGCCCACATAGTTGGACTATAAACCACTTCCACCATTCCGCAAAAAACATCTTCCACCAACTAGATTCATCAACCTCGTCCTTGAATAATATGCCGTGAACCAAATCAAATTCCAAAAGGTCAGTTCAAGATTATTACTATTTTTGAGTCTTCATCTAATACAAACGCTTCCAACAAACCGAAGATTCACAATAGCAAGGCATTTCCTTGATCTTGCCATCAGTACCCACCAATCTATCGAGTGCATAGCCATAATCATAGGAAACTTCCTGCACAAGAGAGAGACGACAAGCCACTAATTTTGTATAGGAACCACAGAAAAAGGTATATTGGAGATTCAAACCCTTAACAGCTTAACCAATGATAAAAAAACTCAGTGACAAAGAGCAAGACTCACTTGAGTAGGCTTGGATTGAAGGCCCGCCAGTCATGTAGGCCAGGCTCTGGCCTGCAATATAGACCTAGTGTCTGGGATTGGGCCACGGGTCTTACCTAGTTCGGCCCGGCCTGGCATGGCCTGGTCCTTCCTTTTATTTATTTTGTAAACGAATTTAGAAATAAATAAATAACATTTATTGGCCCAGTCCAACCAACCCTGCCCGACCACATTAATCGGTCCAGTTGGGCCACCTAGCCCAAGAGTACGGTCAAGCAAAGGCTAGGGTCCCTCAGGCCCTGCCCGGGTCCCAGCCAGGCTCGGGCCAGACCAGGCCTGGCCCATTGCCACCCTTGTCCAAACGTAGAGCTTTGGGATTCACCCTGAGAAGGCAATTTTTCAAATAAATAAATAATTGCTTTGTTTAAAAAACCCAACCTGAATTGAGACTCTCCTATGTTGGATAGGATGACTTGGCTCAGGACTCAAGCATTCCCCAACCTATACCCATGATTGAAAATTATGAGTTACTATTACTTACGGGAGGAGGGAAAATTATTATGAAGACAGCTATTAACATAAAAAGGGAGAATAAGGTTTAGTGGGGCATGGGCAGCACATCAAAAGGAAGAAGAAAGATAAGGGGTACAAGCATGGCACTTCTATCTTTAAAAGCTCTTATAAGTTCAAGTTTTAAAATGCTAAGGACTTCAAGAAGATAAAAGATATCTAACTCAGGACGGATTTTTAATCCCTCACACCAAAGGTTTTCAGTTAAAATAAGACTATAGAAGGGGAAAAGGAAACTCCAGAAGACTTGGCAAGGGTGAAGGGCCATAGAAACAATACCAAACTTCTCCACAAGTAACATTAGATCAATGAAATCAGGTCGCAACACAACCAGCTGATTCCTAGAAAGTTGATGGCAATATCAAAAGATTACATGTTTCTAGGTAGACCAGTTTAGATTCGGTAAACTAGACAATATGATCAGGTCTTTAGAATGTAGTCTGAAATATGATAACCTTAGATTGATGAGAAAAAAGAACCAACAATCGATTGCTTTTGTTTAAACTCATGCTCAACACAATCACGTGCTTTTGGCAAAGCTGTGACTGTCATGTTTTATACATTGTAGTCGACAAAATACTTTTAGTCATCCCCGTAAAGAAAAAAAACAAAAGATTATATTCTCCTAAGAGCATATCTTACATTCATTCCCTCTCCCTCGGCCAAAACCCTATCTAAGAGTGTTCCTGGGACCCCATATTTGAGGATGTAACCTCTTCACCTACAGACCAACAAGGAAGAAAGAAACCATATGCACTCTATATGTGCCTGAAAAAGTAGCACCCTAACATTGAACAAACACCAACCAATTTTTTGGCAGTCAGATCTAAGTGTTTAGAAGCCCAAGATTCCAAATAAAAAAATTAAATGGTTTCTGCACTTGTTAGCAGAATTCCTTTTACTAGAGGAAGGACGTTTATAGTGTGCTCCAGTAAAAGTACACTAGACGTGCGCAGAGAACATGTACTAGAGGGAAGACTTTTATAGTGTGCTCCAGTAAAAGTACACTAGACATGCGCAGAGAAAAAGTATGCCAAAATCCATACTTGGATTGTAGATAATATATATATATATATATATATATATATATATATATATATATATAAG